AAATCTAATCTGGACCTAATTTTCAAAAGTAAAAAAACTTGACGATTGTACTTGAACTATTTTAAAATCTATGGTAACCTGAAAAAGTCAAGAAAGAAAAAACTGCATAATTTCAACAAATTTTTGTAATTAACTGAGATTTTTGAAAAATTCGGTTTTTTTAATGTATCTAAAATTTGCATTTTTTATTTTATCAATTCTAGAAAAATTGTTGGAAGTTTTGAAATAATGCACCCCAAAAATAACTTTAGAAGTACTTGCTACGATAAGACTGATTTGGCAAATGACATACCTTCTAAGAAAATAGAGGGTGGGTGGGCGGGGCTAGTATTTGATAAGATAAGACTGTTTTTAGCACTTTTGACATTTTCTGGTAGATTTCGATATCTAGAAAGCATTTTGGGCTTTCTTTTTTCGGAAATTCCTACCGTTTTTCCAAAATCGCTAATTGAAATACAGTAATTTTTGACAGTTTCGTTAAAATTAACAAGAAAATGTCTTTAGATGACATTCGAAAACTTCTCAAAAACGTCAAAAAATTCATATAGGACGATATAGTAAAACTGATTATTTAGAAAAGTTGTCTACAAATCCTGAAAAATTCTGGGAAATACATTTCCACAAGCCAATTCGAAAAGCATAACGTGTGGATGGACCCTGATCAAGATTTAAAAAAAATTGGTTTGAAAAAGTTTTTTTAATCTCAAAAATTATCATTTTTTATTTATACTTTCCGAGAAAATTGTAGGAATTTTTGAAAAAATGAACCCGAAAATAAGTTACAAATCGAAATTAACACGAAAATATCTTTATCTAATTTTCAATGAGAGCTCAAAAAAATGTAAAAAAAAAATCATACGGAAAGATACAGAAAAATCGATCAATTTTTAAACTTGTCTAAAAATACTTTGTTTTGGGAAATACATTTCCACAAACTGATTCGGAAAACACGTGTTGATGGTATTTCAAACGAACTAAAAAATGTCTATTTTTTTCAAAAACTCGTTTTGAAAAGTTCTGAATTCTGTACATCTTACAAAGAGTCTATTATTATTAAAAATTTCGAAAACTGAAAGTTCAAAATTTCGTTAAGTTTAAGAAAAAATCTAATCTGGACCGAATTTTCAAAAGTAAAAAAAAACTTGACGGTTGTCTTAAACGATTTTAAAATCTATGATAACTGAAAAAGTCCAGAAAGAAAAACAATGCATAATTTCTACAAATTTTTGTTATTAACTGAGATTTTTGAAAATTCGTTTTTTAGTGTACCAAAAAATTGGCATTTTTTATTTTATCAATTCTAGAAAAATGGTTGGAATTTTTGAAGATTTGAAAAAAAAAAAAGGTTTGAAAATGTCTTTTTTAATCTCAAAAATTACCATTTTTATTTACACTTTCTGAGAAAATTGTTGGAATTTTTGAAAAAATGAACCCAAAAATAACTTACAAATCGAAATTAACAAGAAAATATCTTTACATAATTTTCGATGAGGTCTCAAAAATATCTAATTCTACAAATTTTCGGTCTTAACTGATAAAAATTAAAAACAGACACAGAAAAAGCAACATTTTTTGGGTGCCAAATGTTGTGAAATTCTTTTAAAATTTTGCTTCAAGAGTTTTTTCACAAAAATCATACGGTATTATTAGTACAGTGTAAAGTCACGAATATGTTATTTAAAAAAACAATGCTACTGATGAGATATCGTTGCGTTGCCTCAAATGTAAACGTTTTAACTAACTAACTACTACTAGAAAATAAAGCTTCTAATTGGGATTTCAAAGTCATTTATTGTTTGCATTGACTTAAATAGTACGATGTTGTGTGTTTGTTTCTTATGATTTAACCTCTGTTTCTAAAAAGGATAGTTACACTTGATTTTTTTTAAGTATACTTAATATCGCTGGTTTTCTTAAAGTAGTTCTGTAGAAAATTTAAAAGTTTAAAAGAAAGAAGTTAAAAAAAGCTAATTTTGAATTACAATGTTTTGAAGAAAGAAAACTCTGGAAAATTAAAATTCCTGATTTCCAGATAGCCCAGTCCGCTTCTGCCCGTGATGTTTTTGAAGTAATTTGAAAGTCTCGAGAACCCCTTGTGGCTTGTTTTTGAAGTAGATTGCAACAATCTCGGGGACCTTTTGTGCTTGGTTTTTGAAGTAGTTTTTAGAATCTCGGGGACCCCTATTGTTTTGTTTTTGAAGTAATTTGAAAAAAATCTAGGGAACTTCTTGTGTTTGGTTTTTGAAGTAGTTTGAAAAAATCTTAGGGACCTCTTGTGTTTGAAAGAATCTTGGGGACCCCCTTTATTTTGTTTTTGAAATTGTTTGAAAGAATTTCGGGGACTTTTTATGATTGGTTTGTGAAGTATTTTTAAAGAACCTCGGGGACCCCTTTTAGCTTTATTTTTGAAGTTGTTTGAAAGAATCTCGGGGACCATTTTTGTTTTGTTTTTGAAGTGGTTCGAAAGGATTTCGGGGACCGCTTTTGTTTTGTTTCTGAAGTGCTTTGAAAGAATCTCGGGGAACTTTTGTGCTTGATTTTTTAAGTGGTTTTAAAAATCTCGGGGACCCCTTTTGCTTTGTTTTTAAAGTAGTTTGAAAGAATCTTGGGGACTCCGTTTGTTTGGTTTTTGAAGTAGTTTTAAAGAATATTGGGAACCACCTTTGTTTTATTTTTGAACTTGTTTGATAGAATCTCGAGGTTTTTTTACGATTGGTTTATGAAGTAGTTTTAAAGAATCTCGGGGACCCCTTTTTGTTTTATTTTTGAAGTAGTTTGAGAGAATCCCAGGGACCATTTTTGTTTTGTTTTTGAAGTGGTTCGAAAAAATCTCGAATACCTCTTGTGTCTGGTTTCTGAAGTAGTTTTAAAGAATCTCGGAGATTCTTTTTGTTTTGTTTTTGAAGTAGTTTTAAAGAATTTCGGAGACATTTTGTGTTTAGTTTTTGAAGTAGTTTTTAGAATCTCGGGGACCCCTTTTGTTTTGTTTTTGAAGTGGTTTGAAAAAATCTCGGGAACTTCTTGTGTTTGGTTTTTGAAGTAGTTTGAAAAAATCTCGGGAACCTCTTGTGTTTGGTTTTTGAAGTAGTTTGAAAGAATCTCGGGGGCCGTTTATGTTTTTTTTAAGTAGTTGGAAAGAATCTCGGGGATCCCTTTTGTTTTTGAAGTGGTTTGAAAGAATCTCGAGGAACTTTTGTGCTTGGTTTTTGAAGTAGTTTTAAGAATCTCGGGGACCCCATTTGTTTTGTTTTTGAAGTGGTTTGAAAGAATCTCGGGGACCGTTTTTGTTTTGTTTTTGAAGTAGTTTGAAAGAATCTCGGGAACCCCTTTTGTTTTGTTTATAAAGTGGGTTGAAAAAATCTCGGGGACCCCTTTTGTTTTGTTTTTGAAGTGGTTTGAAAGAATCTGGGGGACCTTTTGTGTTTGGTTTTTCAAGTAATTTTACGAATCTCGCCGACCCCTTTTGTTGTATTTTTGAAGTAGCTTGAAAGAATCTCGGGGGGCGCTTTTGTTTTGTCTTTGAATTAGTTTCAAAGAATCTCGGAGAACCCTTTTGTCTTTGAAGTGTTTTTTTTTTTTTTAAAGAATCTCGGGGACCTTTTGTGCTTGGTTTTTGAAGTAGTTTTAAGAGTCTCTGGGACTCCTTTTCTTTTGTTTTTGAAGTGGTTTGAAAGAATCTCCGGGACCTTTTGTGCTTGGTTTTTGAAGTAGTTTTAAGAATCTCGGGGACCCCTTTTGTTTTGTTTTTGAAGTGGTTTGAAAGAATCTCGGGGACCGTTTTTGTTTTGTTTTTGAAGTAGTTTGAAAGAATCTCGGGGACCTTTTGTGCTTGGTTTTTGAAGTAGTTTTAAGAATCTCGGGGACTCCTTTTGTTTTGTTTTTGAAGTGGTTTGAAAGAATCTCGGGACCTTTTGTGCTTGGTTTTTGAAGTAGTTTTAAGAATCTCGGGGACCTCTTTTGTTTTGTTTTTGAAGTATGTTGAAAGAATCTCAAGGACCTCTTGTATTTGGTTTTTGAAGTAGTTTTAAAAATCTCGGGGATCTTTTGTGCTTAGTTTTTGAAGTTCATAATTTCAAAAAAATCTCGGGGACCTTTTGTGCTGGGTTTTTGAAGTAGTTGGAAAGAATCTCGAAGACCCCTTGTATCTGGTTTTTGAAGTAATTTGAAAGAATCTCGGGGACAATTTTTGTTGTGTTTTTAAAGTAGTTTGACAGAATCTCGGAGAGCCCTTGTCTTGTTTTTGAGATAATAAAAAATAAAGACTGCATCTGTCAAGTTTTTGAAATGAGTTTTAAGTTTTCGAAATGCCGAATTTTAAAAATTTTTAAAATTTAGATTCGAACACCAGCGCTCTGGTGTACCACACGTGGAAAATTTCAAATTTCCAGATGACCGAATCCGCCCCTGACTTCATTTATGGTAGCTGGTCATAAATCAAATTATTCCAACACTTTTTGCAGTCAACTCGTTTAACTGAACCCACAAATGAGGTTTTATGTTGGTCATGCTTTGAACACCTGCCAAGTACTACACTATTTTGGGATCTTAGCATAAAACTGCAGCGTACTAAACCAAAAAAAGTACAGACGCACAAAATCGTCATCTTCGTGACCAAAATTTTCCATTTTTTTTTAAGAAAATGTAATATCCAAAAAATCAAAGTAATGCCAGTTCTAAAAAAAAAATTGTGCAAGTGCAGAACACAACAACACGTTCCGAATACCGCCACATAAAATTCACCACCATATCTGTGTGTAGGTCTGCAGTGTTCACCGACTGGAAATTAAATCGGCGATTGTTACGAGTTAATTCAATTTGAATTTGGATAGGTCATGGGCGTACATGAAATTTGTCCAACTCGCACACGCATCTGGAATGATCCTTTCTCTCCAGATGTACCGTTTTAAAAAATTAGACCTAAATTAAGCTCCACAAGGTTACAGCGAGATATAAAAAGATTTAAAACCTCTTAAAAAATCCGTGATTACCTAAATACTTACATAATGGTGTTATTATGATTGTATCTCAAATATGCGCATTCACCACACAATTCAAGCCTACTTCCTGAATTAGAATATTTGTTAGTCGGGCTGGTTATGTCATAAAAGCGTGTAGAATTTTCTGGACACTACTTTCCCCTAATACTGCAATTTGACGTAATTATTCGATATATCAAGGTCGGAATCGAATCTACCTATCCAATATCGCAAAGATAAGCCACTCCTCCGCTCAAAACAAGCAATGAACAAAACACAATTGCACGAGCCTCTCTACTTATTTGATTAGACTTTATCACTCCGTAGATTACATATGACTTAATCTAAAATCAAACACACGCTTCTCTAAAGCCAACGTAGCAATGCAACTCCCGGCAAGTATTTATAGTGTGGATAAAAGTGGCTCAGGGACCCCTGAGACCTAACCTTAAAAACGAAAAATGCACTTACGTTCGTCAAATTTTGCACATGGTTCGTGGACGTGACGTTGTCCTCCGACCGGCTTCTGGTCCTCTTCCTCGACATGATGGCCAGACTGGGGGCGACAGACTCATGTAAATCTGCAAGACATAACCTATATTTCGCAGCCCCGCCTATTCAACGCGACTAATGACAGGAAAATGAGTAATTAGCGGGACACTCGCGTGCCAGCAAGCAGGGGGCTCAAGGACACTGACTAAACCTTACCCAACATCGGACTGTGCACAACTTAAAAATAAGAAGAAAAGTGGTGAAAATCGGCGTAAATCGCTTGACACGTAGCGAAATTTGGCAAACGTCAAAATTAGTGGCAAAACAGCATCACTTCCAGGTCACTAGATGCAGACACAACGGTACTTTCCTCTGTCTGTCTGTTTCGCACGTTTATCGGTTTGCTTTCACACGTCTTCCGCCAGCACCGACACCGAATGAAGACAACTCCTCGGCTGAGTCTACTTATTTAAGTGCGAGCGGTTCGAGATTCCAACACCTCACTAAGCGGCGACTGATAACACGTCGACCACGTGTCTCGGTATAAATAAAATCGGACGATTTTTTTTTTTTTAGAAAAAGTGTTCGCGTTTCACTCCATTTCGCCGATTTGCGCCTTTTGATTTATCTATTTTTATTGATTTTTCAAATTCTGACGCGCCACGGGTCACGTGACGTGACGTAGAATCGTATGATCCGGTTCGGTATTCGATCCGGTGGGAACGGGCATTCAGTGGAAAATATGCATTGTATTGTTGTTGAGACTGTCGCAGTGTGGCGACAGCTTAATTAAAAGCGTTGCGTCACGCATTTTTTTCGTTTACGGTGTGTAAAGACCGTAAAATAATTGTAAACAATGCGGAGTTAGGCAACCAACTGTGCGTCGGTGCGCGCGGGCTGCCGCCATTGCTGAAAATCTGAAAAAGATTTTCCGCGTTTTTCGTTGCGAAAAAAGGCTTATCTGTGGGAAGTGTTGTAAGAAAGCAGCGATTGCATTTGACTATGATTTATTTAGTTATCTTATCTGCATTATTACTCGTATTTTAAGAATTAATTGGGTCGAATAGAACTAATATCGTGCATGGTGTATTATAGTGTCAATTCAGTGGTAATTCCAAGGTCATCAATCAATTTTACGGAATGTACATACAAATTTGTTACCATTTTATTCTTTGTCGACAAAAAATATAACAATACTTGAGTACTAAAGTGTCAGTTAAAGAACATTTGTGGCAAAATGGCTGAGTTCCAATGTTTTTTTTTTTATGGAAATTTTACTGTGTTATAGTTAGAAATGAATCCTAATATGTTGTAATCAGTATAGATGAATTGTAGAAATGAACTGTTAGTCATTTTATAAAATCGGACTTCCCGAACAAAGGTCGTTTATATTTTTATAATCGGCTTCTAGACTACTTTGGTCATTGAATGATTCATATGTTATTTTAACACATTCCAGGATTCTTTCAAATGCTTAAAAAAAAATCGTCAATTGCCCAAGAGTCATTTAAATAACAAAACGTCAGAAACTCAAAATATTTTTAAAATAAAAAAAAAATCATCACCGTCTCCGTTTTTTCAAAATTTTACATAAAAACCGCCAAAGATTCTTTTGAATTAAAAAAAAAATCCGTCCGAAACCCTTAAGATTTAAAAAAAACTTGAAGATGCCACCCCCAATTTTTTAAATTAAAAAAAAAAATCAGAAATCCCCAAAAACTTTTACTCTCAAGATTTTTCCAAAATCTTCCAAAAAGAAAACCATCAGAGGCACTAAAATTCGTTCAAATTTTTCAAAAAAAAAGTCAAGCCCCCAAGATTTTTCAAATTAAAAAAAAATCAAGAACCCACGATTTCTTAAAATTTTCAAAAAAAGGAACTGTCAGTGGCACACAATATTTTTTCTAAAAAGTCCGTCGACAACCCACAAGATTATTTTAAATGTTAAAAAAAAAATCGTCAGGGTCCTGAAGATTCCATCAAATTCTTAACAAAAAAATATTAAGAGGCCTCCAGATTCTTTAAATTTTATTACCTTAAAATTCTGGTAGTACTAGATTATCTAGACTTGTATGTACTTTATATGTATACAGTTTCGTCTTTTTTTTCTGTTTGTATAATATTTTTATGTAAATGGCCTGTCCATGTAAAGTTTATTATTATTATTATTATTATTAAACAAAAAAAAAGCAGAAGTCCCCAAGATTTTTTCGAATTTAAAAAAGCAAAACGTTCAAGATTGGTTCATATTTTTTCGGTTAGAAATCCTCAAGATTCTCTCAAAATGTTCCAACAAGAAAATCCCAAAATGCATTCAAATTCTCCAAAAAAAGTCAGGAACTATCAAGATTTTTTAAAATTAAAAAAAAAAGTACAAAGGTTCTTTCAAAATATTTCAAAAAGAAAACCATCAGGGACTCCAAAATTCGTTAAAAATCTTAAAAAAAAAACGTCAAGAACCCCCAAGATCTTTCCATATTAAAAAAATCAAAAACTCTCGCGATTCATTTAAATTTTCAAAAAAAGAACTGTCAGTCGCACGCAAGATTTTTTCAGTTTTTCATCAACAAATAAAACAGAAGATTCTTTAAAATTTTTCCAAAAAAAAAATCCGTTAGACACCTAAGATTTTTTTAATTAAAACAAGTTTCCAAGTTTTTTTCAAATTAAAAAAAAACGCAGGAACTCCCTTTATGAAATATGATTTTTTCAAAATTTTCAAAAAAGAAAACCATCAAGGGCCCCAAAATTGTCAGCAACCCTCAAGTTTTTTTTAGATTTTTTACCGTTAGAATCCCTCAAGATTTTTTCAAAATCTTTCAAAAATAAAATCATCAGGGGCCTCAAAATTCGTTCAAATCCTTCAAAAAAAAAGTCTCCAAGATTCATTTAAATGTTAAAAAAAAACGTCAGAAGTCCCCAAAAATTCTTTCAAATTCTTAAGACAAAAAGAGAGCCCCCCCCCCCCCCTCAGATAATGTTGACTAAAGTCGCCAAGATTCAAATTTTCAAAAAACAAACCCACGACGCCCTCAAGATTCTTTTCAAATCTTCAAAAAAGATAACCATCGGGGACCCAATTGTAAATAAAAATAATCAAGTCCCCGAGATTTTTTAAAATTTAAAAAAAAAACAGACGAGACTGTCAAGATTCTCCAGAATTTTTTCCCTCAAAATTCGTTCAAAATGTTCCAAAAAGAAAACCATCAGAGGCCCCAAAGTCATTCATATACTTCAAAAAAAAAAAAACAACCTTAGCAGCTTTCAAGATTGTTTTTCATTTTTCAAAAAAAAAATCTGGAACTCTGCAAGGTGGTCTTAAATTTTCAAAAGCAAGCTCAGAGGCCCACAAGATTCTTTCAAATTTTCAAAAAAAAAAAGATTTGTTAAAAACTCCCAAGATTCTTTTAGATGTAAAAAACCATCGGGGGGTCCAAATTTCATTCAAATTCTTCCAAAAAAAAATTAACAAAAAAGTAAGCAAACCCCAAGATTTTTTTAGATTTTTTTCCTTTTGAAATTCTCAAGAATGTTTCAAAATCTTCCAAAAAGAAAACCATCAGGGGACCCAAAATTCGTTCAAATTGCTCTCAAGATTCTTTCAAATATGTATTCTAAAAAAGAAAACCATGAGGGTCTCAAAATTTGTTTAAATCCCCTATGAAACACCTCAGCACCAAAAAAAAACACAAGATTTTTTAAAAGTTTTCAAGAAAAAATCCGTTAGAAACCCAAGATTCTTTTAATTAAAAAGATCAACTTTCCAAGTTTTGTTCAAACTAAGAACAAACACAGGAATTCCGAAGATTGTTTAAAATTTGTTACCCTCATGATTCTTTCAAAATCTTCAAAAAAAAAACCCAAAACTCATTCAAATTCGTCAAAAAAAAAAAAATGTCAGTAACCCCCAAGATTTTTTTAGATTTTTTTCCCTTAGAAACCCTCAAGATTTTTTCAAAACTTTCCAAAACGAAAATCATCAGAGACCTCAACATTCGTTCAAATTCTTCAAAAAAAATCTCCAAGATTCATTTAAATGTTAAAAAAAAACGTCAGAGGCCCCAAAAGTTTTTTCAAATTTTTAAGAAAAAAATGAGGCCCTCAGATAATTTAATTAACTAAATCAATGTAGCCCTCAAGATTTTTTTAAATTAAAAAAAAAACACTACGCTCTCAAGATTCTTTCACAATCTTCCAAAAAAAAAAAACCATCAGAAGCCCCAAAATCATTCAAATTCTTCAAAAAAAAGAAAAACACCAATGTTAGCAAGATTGTTTTTGATTTTTCAAAGAAAAAAATCTGGAACCCTTAAGGAGGTCTCAAATTTTCGAAAGCAAGCTCAGAGACCCACAAGGTTCTTTCAAATTTTTCAAAAAAAAAATCTGTTAAAAACCCCCAAGATTCTGTTAAATTTAAAAAACCATCACGGGGGCCCAAAATTCAATCAAATTCTTCCAAAAAAAAAAAACAAAAAACAAAAAAGTCAGCAAGCCCCAAAATTTTTTAGATGTTTTTCGATTAGGAACCCCCAAGATTTTTTCAAAATTTTCCAAAAACAAAACCATCAGTGGCCCCAAAATTTGTTCAAATTCTTAAAAAAAAACAGGATTCATTTAAATATTTACAAAAACGTCAGAGGTTCCCAAAATTCTTTCATATTCTTAAGAAAAAAATTAGGAGGCCTCCAAATAATTTTAAATAAAAATAATCAAGTCCCCAAAACTTTTTCAAATTAAAAAAAAAACGAACGAGGCCCTCAAGATTCTTTAGAATTTTTTTCCCTCGAGATTCGTTCAAAATCTTCCAAAACGAAAACCACGAGGGCCCCAAAATCACTCAAATTCTTCAAAAAAAAAACTGGAACCCCCAAGGTGGTTCTTAAATCTACAAAAACAAGCTCAAAGGCCCACAAATTTTTTTCAAATTTTTTAAAACAAAGAGAGCTTTAAAAACTGCCAAGATTCTTTTAAAATGTAAAAAACCATCAAGGAGGCCCAAAATTCATTCAAATTCTTAAAAAAAAATCTGCAACTCCCAAATTTTTTTTAGACTGAAGAGCCCCCACATAACTTTAGATTAAAATAATCAAGTCCCCAAGATTTTTGAAAATTTAGAAAAAAAAAACGCACAAGGCCCCCAACATTCTTTAGAATCTTTTATCTTCAAGATTCTTTCAAAATCTTCCAAAACGAAAACCACGAGGGCCTCAAAATCACTCAAATTCTTCAAAAAAAAAAAAAAACTGGAACCCCCCAAGGTGGTCTTAAATCTACAAAAACAAGCTCAAAGGCCCACAAATTTTTTTCAAATTTTTTAAAACAAAGAGAGCTTTAAGAACTGCCAAGATTCTTTTAAAATGTAAAAAACCATCAAGGAGGCCCAAAATTCATTCAAATTCTTAAAAAAAAAATCTGCAACTCCCAAATTTTTTTTAGACTGAAGAGCCCCCACATAACTTTAGATTAAAATAATCAAGTCCCCAAGATTTTTGAAAATTTAGAAAAAAAAAACGCACAAGTCCCCCAACATTCTTTAGAATCTTTTATCTTCAAGATTCTTTCAAAACCTTCCAAAAAAAAAACCATCAGAGGCTCCAAAATCATTTAAATTCATCAAAAAAAAAAACAGCTTTAGCAGCCCCCAAGATTTGTTTTTGATTTTTCCAAAAACAAAAAAAATCTGGATCCCTCAAGGTGGTTTCAAATTTTCAAAAGTAAGCTCAGAGGCCCACAAGATTCTTTCAAATTTTTCAAAAAAAAATCTGTTAAAAACCCCCAAGATTCTTTTAAATGTAAAAAACCATCACGGGTGCCCAAAATTCATTGAAATTCTTCCAAAAAAAAAACAAAAAACAACAAAGTCAGCAACCCCAAGATTTTTTAGATGTTTTTCCGTTAGGAACCCTCACGATTGTTTCAAAATTTTCCAAAAAGAAAAGCATCAGGGGCCCCAAAATCCATTCAAATTGCTCTCAAGATTTTGTATGTATTCCAAAAGAGAACCAGGGCCTCAAAATTTGTATAAATCTCCCCCCCCCCCTCAAGAAATACCTCAGCACCAAAAAAACACAAGATTCTTTAAAAGATTTCCAAAAAACATCCGTTAGAAACCCAAGATTCTTTTAATTAAAAAAAATCAAGTTTACAAGTTTTTTTCAAATTAAAAAAAAAGCGCAGGAACTCTCAAAATTCTTTAAAATTTGTTACCCTCATGATTCTTTCAAAATCTTCAAAAAAGAAAACCATCAGGGGGCCCCAAAATTCATTCAAATTCTTCCAAAAAAAAAAACAAAAACAAGAAAGTCAGCAACCCCAAGATTTTTTTAGATTTTTTTCCGTTTGGAATCCTCAAGATTTTTTCAAAATCTTGCAAAAAGAAAATCATCAGAGGCCTCAACATTCGATCAAATTCTTCAAAAAAAGTCTTCAAGATTCATTTAAATGTTAAAAAAAACGTCAGAGCTCTCCAAAAATTTTTTCAAATTCTTAAAAAAAGGAGCCCCCCAGAGAATTTTAACTAAAAAAAATGTAGTCCCTAAGATTTTTAAAATTAAAAAAAAACACACGACGCCCTCAAGATTCTTTCAAAATCTTCAAAAAAAAAAACATCAGAGGCCTCCCAAAAAAAAAAACAATGTTAGCAGCCACCAAGATTGATTTTATTTTTCAAAAAAAAATCTGGAACCCATAAGGTGGTCTTAAATTTTCGAAAGGAAGCTCAGAGACCCACAAGATTTTTTCAAATTTTCCAAAAAATAAAATATGTGTTAAAAACCCCCAAGATTCTTAAATGTAAAACAACCATCAGGGAGGCCCAAAATTCATTCAAATTCTTCAAAAAAAAAAAAAACAAAACCAAAAAGAAAAAAGTCAGCAACACCCAAGATTTTTGTAGATTTTTTCCGATAGGATCCCTCAAGATTCGTTCAAATTCTTCAAAAAAAAAGTCTCCAAGATTCATTTAAATATTTAAAAAAAACGTCCCAGGTTCCCAAAATTTTTTCAAATTCTTAAGAAAAAAAATTAAGAGGCCCCAAATAATTTTAAATAAAAATTATCAAGTCCCAAAGACTTTTTCAAATTTTCAAAAAAAAACACAGGAGTACCTCAATATTCTCTACATTTTTTCCTTCAAGATTCTTTCAAAATCTTCCAAAAAGAAAACCATCAAGGGCCCCAAAATCATTCAAATTCTTCAAAAAAGAAACCGTTAGAAGCCATCAAGATTGTTTTTGATTTTCAAAAAAAAAATCTGGAACCCCAAAGGTGGTTTTAAATTTTCCAAAGCGAACTCTTTCAAAATTTTCAAAACAAAAAAAATCTGTTAAAAACAGCCAAGATTCTTTTAAATGTAAAAAAATCATCAGGGAGGCCCAAAAATCATTCAAATTCTTCAAAAAAAAGTAAGTTTTTTTAGATTTTTTCCGTTTGGAATCCTCAAGATTTTTTCAAAATCTTGCAAAAAGAAAATCATCAGAGGCCTCAACATTCGATCAAATTCTTCAAAAAAAGTCCAAGATTCATTTAAATGTTAAAAAAAAACGTCAGAGCTCCCCAAAAATTCTTTCAAAAACTAAAAAAAAGGAGCCCCCCAGAGAATTTTAACTAAAAATAATGTGGTTCCCAAGATTTTTAAAATTAAAAAAAAAAACACACGACGCCCTAAAGATTCTTTCAAAATCTTCAAAAATAAAAACATCAGAGGCCTCCAAAAAAAAATCAATGTTAGCAGCCACCAAGATTGATTTTATTTTTCAAAAAAAAATCTGGAACCCATAAGGTGGTCTTAAATTTTCGAAAGGAAGCTCAGAGACCCACAAGATTTTTTCAAATTTTCCAAAAAATAAAATATGTGTTAAAAACCCCCAAGATTCTTAAATGTAAAACAACCATCAGGGAGGCCCAAAATTCATTCAAATTCTTCAAAAAAAAAAAAAACAAAACCAAAAAGAAAAAAGACAGCAACACCCAAGATTTTTGTAGATTTTTTCCGATAGGATCCCTCAAGATTCGTTCAAATTCTTCAAAAAAAAAAGTCTCCAAGATTCATTTAAATATTTAAAAAAACGTCCCAGGTTCCCAAAATTTTTTCAAATTCTTAAGAAAAAAAATTAAGAGGCCCCAAATAATTTTAAATAAAAATTATCAAGTCCCAAAGACTTTTTCAAATTTTCAAAAAAAAACACAGGAGGACCTCAATATTTACATTTTTTCCTTCAAGATTCTTTCAAAATCTTCCAAAAAGAAAACCATCAAGGGCCCCAAAATCATTCAAATTCTTCAAAAAAGAAACCGTTAGAAGCCATCAAGATTGTTTTTGATTTTCAAAAAAAAAAATCTGGAACCCCAAAGGTGGTTTTAAATTTTCCAAAGCGAACTCTTTCAAAATTTTCAAAACAAAAAAATATGTTAAAAACAGCCAAGATTCTTTTAAATGTAAAAAAATCATCAGGGAGGCCCAAAAATCATTCAAATTCTTCAAAAAAAAGTAAGTTTTTTTTAGATTTTTTTCCGTTAGGATTCCTCAAAATTTTTTCAAAATCCTCCAAAAAGAAAACCATCAGGGGCCCCAAAATTGTTCTAAATTCTTAATAAAAAAAAAATAGGAGGCCCCCATAATTTTAAATAAAAATAATCAAGTCACTAAGATTTTTTAAAATTTTTCAAAAAAAAAAACGACGAAGCGCCTAAGATTCTTTAGAATTTTTTATCCTCAAAATTCTTTCAAAAAAAAAAGATAGCAGCTCCTAAGATTGTTCCTGATTTTCAAAAAAAAAAAAAAAAAAAAATCAGGAGCCTCAAAAAAGGCGCACAAGATTCTATCAAATTTTTCAAAAAAAAGTATTAGAAACCCAAGATTCTTTTAAATGAAAAAACAACAACGGGGGCAAGATTTTTTTTATTTAAAAAAATTAAGAATTCTTAAAATTTAAAAGCGCAAAATCCTTGTAAGATTATTTCAATTTTTCTCACAAAATTCGTTCAAATTCTTCTAAAAAAAATATATATTAGAAGCTCTCAATATTTTTTTAAATTTTGAAAAAAGAACTACCTGAGGCCCCGAGATTCTTTAAAATTTTTCAAAAAAAAAATCCGTCAGAAACCCCCAAGATTCTTTGAATTTTTTTCAAAAAAATAGACCTCAGGTGCCCAGGTTTTCTGTCTGTCGTAGTTTGGACGTAGCAGAATTTTTAATGAGTGAAGAAGTCAAAAAGGCTTCAGACTAAATATTTCTAACGTCATGTCAAAAAATGTATTAACTCTTTGTTCTTTGGTTAAAGTGACCAGAAAATTTAAGGTCCAATGGACATTTTGGTCAAGTATGTATAAATAACTACACCAATTTTTCTAATATGTTTTATCAACGTATCTTTACCAACAGTGTAAAAATGAAAAAATAACAACGTCTATTTTCGATACATTCCAATGAACAAAATCGTATGCGTACTTTTCTTATAAATAACAAAAATGAAGGGTCTGTTGCACTTAAACTGCGCTGGAACTTGATCCCCATCATTTCCAATCCTCCATACTAAATTCTGACGCCCACTTTGAGCCGCCCCTTGCTCACTAACCAAAATCTTCGCTTTGTGAAATCCGTTGGAGAAGTAAACATTCTCTTCTTTAGACAGTACTGAGAAATCGGCACCACTTTTGAACAATTTTGACGCCCCCAAGGACTCAAAAACCTGAAACCATCAGTTAAATTAAGTTAAAAAATCTCCCCCAATTATTAAACCCACCGGTCTCAAATCAATAGTCTCCTCCATAGAAAACTTAGGAAGCGATACGCGAACTTTCTTTGAAAGAAGGCGGTCGCTGGCGACCATCTTTTTAAAATTTTCGACATTTAATCGCTTCAGAGTGTCTTCGTAGTTGGTGAAGGGGGGTAAAATGATATACATGCTGATTTCTGTTCCTTCGTACGGCATTTCCAAAATGTGGGCTTGTAAATCGACGGACACTTCTAAGGGTTAAAAAAAACGCAGCTTTAAATAGGGTATGAAATATTTTACAAACAAACCGTGGTTGAAATAATCTTCGGTGTACATCATAGGAACTAATTTAGCTGATGAAGGACTTATGTAGAACGTTTCAACACGGTTGAACTGCCTATCCCATGTTCCTTCAAAATAGGCAGCATTTACTAAAGCTAAGGTTGTATTTACATTAAAGCTTTTTTGTGGCAGTATATTTTTTATTAAATTGTGTGACTGTCCCTTCACCCATTCATTAATAGCAACTGTAGCATTTTCGGGATCAGGTTTAAACGAAATTTGTTGTAATTCGTCTAAAAAAAGAGTACCCACACACTCTCTTATAGCAATGTCATCACTAACGTAAATTTTGTTAACATCAGCAAGTTCATAGCTACTATTTGATTTATGCAGACGAGTCAGGAGCTTGTCCAGTTGGTATGCATGGAAAAAATCTATTTTCGACTGAAACCTCTAGCTATTATTGAATTTTTGAAGCCTCTTTACCTTACTTGTGTAGATTTTAGCGCTAAAATGTTCTTCAATTCAAACTCGGTTTGTCCATTGGATAAGAAATAGGCCAATAAAAGGCCCCGATATGTGGTGTACGGTGAGAAGAATATATTCTCTGTTGGAAAGTGGTGGTTGATGGCATTTAAAAGTGTGAAGGAAAATATATGCTGCCCGCTATACAGACTAGTGGTGGCACTGGGGGGTTGATTATCATTTTCTGTTAAACACTGCTGATTAGAAGAGTTTAAATATAACAATACAAGTAAAAATGCAAAATTTGTCGTCATTTTTGCTATGAAATTAATTTAAATACACACTCGCACGCACTATTATATTGTGAACATTATTCTAAACTTTAGAGTTTAACTTGATAAATTGTTTAAAAATAAATGAAACATTAAATACGTTCATATTGTAAACTATAACCTCAGAACTGAGCAGAATTGAGGAAGTTGGGACAAACCACAGTGTCCTCAGGCGATTTAAAATTAGCCAAATACACTGACGTCATCCGAGGTCACCAAGATGGCAGCGTTTGACAACCAGCCGATTTTCTCATAAGAGTCAATGCTAATATTTTCGGAATTCATTTAAATTTGAGAGTGTGTCAACTGTGTTTTTATAGTTTGGTAAGTTTGTTACAGTTTCTACACTGTGTAGATATCTGTAAAACGCACCATAACGTTTGAATAGGCTTAAAAAATAATGTTTTCCAATGTGATGTACAGGTTAACTTCGCTGCATCTTATATCATTTGTTTTGCAAATTAATTCTTTGTTAATGTACATCAATGTTTTTTAAATACACTAGCATCTTAATATTATTATATTTTGTATTTTAGGAGAAAATGCCTAAATTTTGTGCTGTTGGGGGTTGCGCGAATCGAAGCACCAGAAATGCGAACAAATTTTATTTTCCTTTCCCAGCAATTAGCAACAATAAAGGTAAATATATACAGGATGGGAAAAAAAGCGGAAGCTTTGGTTAAAAGCCTTGAAACGAGTGGATTTAACGAAGCCAAAGTAAAGTATTCCTATGTTTGTTCGGATCATTTTATTTTAGATACAGTAACTACCTATTAGATTTACAGTTTCTAACAAATTACTACATTGGTGCTCTTTTAGGTAAACCTGCAGATTTGTCGGATGTGGACGATCCTGATTATGTTCCATCACAAAATTTAGGATATCAAAATAAATCTATTTATAATACTTGTAATGTTGAAAGACACAGTTGTTTAAAAAAGAGAAAACTGAATAAATGCCTCTAGACTTTTGAATGCACGAATTTCATTGTGGGTTATTTTACTTATTCCAAAAATAAAGAAGTTTAGAATGGTATTCATTGTTATGGTAGGGACATGGTCTAAACACAAATTAAAATCACTTGCACTCATTGTATAAGGATCTCCGCCGTTTAAATTGTTTAAATTTTGTACATATCTGTTTTTCTCTTTGACAGAAAGACATCGTGCATAATCACTTAAATTATCCATACTTTGAAAAAAAATCACACACCTTCACTTAAACCCGTCACATTAACCTCAAACGAAAATATTAATTTCCGATTTACCGCTTAAAACACATAGATGTATTTTGGGTGACGAGGAATTCAGACCAAAACAGCGTTCTGTATTTATATTTTTATTATGTATTTTTAAACTCAAATCGCCAAAAAAAGCACCCTGATACACAGAAAAGATATGAAAGAAGCTATTCACGTGTTTATTTTCTAGATAAATACCTACACTTTTAAATGCAATGCGAAAATGTTAACATTGCCACTTATGGAGTTTCACGGCGCTTGTCAAACGCTGAGTTCCCGCCACAGCGTGACGTCACGTGTTATTGGCTAATTGTGTGTGGGATTGGGATAAATATACCATTTTAGAACGATACTGCTGCCCTCTAGTAGTTAATAGAAAACTTCACTAAAAAGTAGTACAGGGATTTCTAGGGTTTGAAAAAATGACAGTTACATTTTTATTTCAAAATAAACGGTGTTCTACAGACAAGATTTCTGTATTTTTTATTCTGTATGCTTGCAGATAAAATTTTTATGCAAATCAAAATAAACTGAACTCGAGTTGGCACTGCCTGTCAACCTTTGGGTGGTACTACTGCCCAGTTTGACGTACGCAGAGACTTTAAATACATAGACTGGCTGTTAGTAACATTTCTAATGCATTTTGGTGAAGCCACGGCGCATGGTAGTATGGACGCCATTGCTATAACTTTTATGTCAAATTAAGTGAGGTTGTGGTGGTTAGCAGCAGTAGTTTCTAGCACAGAACGTCTCTAGACCTCGAAATAAAAGTGGTTGTGTGTCGGGACTTACGAGATTGTTTGTAAATATGGCCATTAAAAATGATTTGGTAACTAAAATGTTTGCCTTAACTTTGCAAAGTAGGACCATACATTTTTTTTCTACATAATGAACATTTGTTTAGTATGGATTAGTTGGACTTAAATAATTCTTATTTTAAATTATTGCTTAAATTAATTTTGAGAAATTATTTGACTCTCGGAATAGGTTATGAGTGCCGCTTAAGTACTGAGCGTGAAAAAACTATCTCTTTAAGACAAAAATTCACGAAATTAATTTTGTTTCAAGGATATTAATATTTTTAAAGAAATTTACATATACATATAGATATTTTTATCTAAATAAATAATTACAATTTGTTGTCTTTTTTATTTAACATTTTAAATTGCATTTTGTGACCGGAAAATTCAAATTTCGCGCACTTACGGTTGTAAGCAATATGGTGGTCGACAAACTTCACGTTTTTCCTGACACAGCCAGTCTATGTATTAAAGTCTCTGGACGTACGTTTGACGTAAACGCGAAGATAAATACTAAAATAAAAACGACTTGACATGGAAGAATAAATTAATCACCATTCGAATCGTACTTACCTCTTACTCATATCCTTAACCTGATCACATTATGTGAGTTAGTTTTGAAACACAATTTAATTTCTTTAGCTTTAACAATACTTTTTATGAACAACATACTGATTTGGGAATGGGGTCTTCTTTATATCCATGTTAAGCAGAAATTTTCATGAACAATATACAAACAAAAATCTCCTCAAATCCCAAATTTACAGAGAAAATTAAATTCAGGGGCTAGTTTCATCTTTTCTCGATGTGTCATGATTTCTAAACTACGAAAAATAGGTCTCCCGTTTCCGTCTATCTGTCTGTCTGTCTGTCTGTCCGACGTCTGTGTCAATTTTTGTATCATGGAATACACATAGTATCGTCACCGTGGAGAAACCAGACGTAAACTTAACAAAAGAAAAAAAAAAAACGGACACCATTTGACAGACCGCGAAATTTAAAATGGTTTATATGTTGGATTTGAAGTTCGTAGTTTAAGTGGGATTTATAAACTTGCTGTTGACGTTGAAGTTCCCGCTGACGTTGCTTTTAAAGCTGAAAATTGTCATTTATAAACTTTGTTGTAGAGGATTTAAGTTGATTACTACAAAAAATTACCAGTTTAGACATGTTTTAAGTTTCTTGCTGTCGAAATAAGTAATAAGAAATATTAAGAAAAAAGGCAAAGTGTAGCCCCGCCCACCCACCCTATCTCTATTGTAATGATTTTTTTATTCGTCGTGAGCCAAGAAGGCGGAGCTTAACTGCAAAATCTTTATTTATTTCTTTACGAGAAACTAAAAACATGTTTTTGAGTATCGTGCTGTTCAAAGAATACTATGTATATTAAGAAAAAATTAAAGCCAAAGATTAAGGCCCACCCATACCTGCCCTGACCTAAATATCTAATACTATTAAACGAGCAAAGTTTGTATATATATATTTATATATATATATATATAATGGGTTTCTCGAAAACGGCTCTAACGATTTCGATGAAATTTACAGGTTAGGGGTTTTTTGGGTCAAAAAATCGATTGATCATAGTTTTAACTTCTGAAAATTACAGCTTCATGCATTTTCAGCAATTTTCAGGCAGTGAATTATATTTGTTGCTAGGCAACTTCAGATGACACTACACGAACACGAGATTGTTTTATAAGAGAAGTTTGGGTGACAGTCTGACAGTACGTTTGACGTATCTTTTTATCTTCAATTGTACGTACCGAAACATACTCCACTGTATAGAGGACGTTAAAATTCACCTTCTGAGGTGAGAAAATTTACCGAAAACTAAAGAGTGAGCGTATAAAAGGCACACGAAAGTGCGTTGAATTGAGATTATTTTGTCAAGCATTCATTTCAGAGGTTTCGCGGTCGGAGTCAATGTGTGATCGTTTTCCGGGATGGGACCGTGTTATTTGAGTTTTTGGGCTCAACGTTTCGCACACTTTCGTAAGTGGCATCTTCAGGAGCAGGGTTGAGATTGAGAAATTAGGAATAACGCAAAAGAGCACGGTAACTCAGTATGATAACCACACCAGAGGCGAAACTCTTCTGGCAGTAAGAATGTAGTTGTGACCTTTTTCTAGAGTCGAGAGAGAGAACTAGGAAAAAAAAAGAACGACAGAGAGAAAACTTGGGTAACAAATGCGATTGTAATAAAATAAATGTCAAACAATAATTCCAGTTTTCTGTTCTTTAATCTCTACATGTCACTTATCACTGTTTAAAACAAAGACTGCTTATGGAATTTCTTTTTTAATGTGTATTTTTAATTAGCGCGTCTACTTCAAAATGCATACTATACGCATATTTATCTGTCCTAATCTGATCTAATACTACCAAACGAGCCGAGTGAAGCTCGGTCAACCAGATATTGTAGTAATGAAGTTTGCATTCGTTGCCAAACCCAAGGGGCGGAGCCTAATTGCAAAATCCATATTTCCCTATAAGAATTCACCATTTTAAATGTGTTTTAAGTTTCTAAGAATAACAAAAACCATCACAATTGAGATGGGGTGGTTTATACTTTGCCTTTTTTTTTCTTAATATACATAGTGTTCAGCACATGTTTTTTATTTGTTGTAAAGAAATAAGTATTTTGCAGTTATGCTCCGCCCTCTTGGTTCACGGCGAATAAAACAAGTCATCACAATTGAGACAGGGCGGGTGAGCGGGGCTTACACTTTGTTTTTTTGTTTCAATATATGTAGACTACTCCGCCCTATAATAGCAAAATCCATATTTTGTATATCAAAAAAAGGGGCAAAATGTAGCCCCGCCCGCCCACCCTATCTCTATTGTAATGATTTTTTTATTCGTCGTGAGCCAAGAGGGCGGAGCTTAACTGCAAAATCCTTATTTCTCTACGAGAAATTAAAAACATGTTTTTGAGTATCGTGTTGTTCAAAGAATACTATGTACATTAAGAAAAAAATTAAGCCAAAAATTAGGCGCCACCAATACCCGCTCCAATCTCAATTCCCAATTGTGATGAATTTTTCATTCAAAAATCCATATTTGTCTACAAAAATTTACCATATTAAACATGTTTTAAATTTCTTGTTCTGAAAAGACGACTACGTATTTTAAAAAAAGGACCAAAATATAAGGCTCGCCCACCCACCCTATCTCAATTGTGATGATTTGTTTAATCGTGGAGAGCCAAAGGAGAAGAATTTAATTGTAAAATCTTTATTATTTCTCGACCAGAAATTACCATATAAGAATTGTTTTTGCGTATCGTGTTATTCAAAAAATACTATATTCCAAAATCCATACTTCCTTACAAAAATTTTAAACGTGTTTTAAGTTTGTAAGAATAAAAATAATCATCACAATTGAGATTGGGTGGGTGGGTGGGCGGGCTTTATGTTTTGCCTTTTTTTCTTATGTACACAGTATTCTGTAAACAACACGATACTCAAAAACATGTTTTTAATTTCTTGTAAAGAAATGAGTATTTTGCAGTTAAGCTCATCCCCCTTGGTTCACGGCGAATAAAAAAAATCGTCACAATTGAGAGAGGGCGGGTGGGCGGGTTTACATTTTGTCTTTTTGTTTCAATATGTTGTGTGGACTTCTCCGCCCTATAATTGCAAAATCCTCCATATTTCCAAAAATGTACTATTTTAACCATATTTTAAGTTTTTTGTTGTGAAAAGATGGCTATGTATATTAAGACAAAAAAGGCAACATATAAGCCCCGCCCACCCACCCTATCTCAATTCTGATGATTTTTTTTATTCGTCGTAAGCCGAGGAGTGGAGCTTAATTGTAAAATCCTTACTTTTCTACGAGTAATTACCATGTGAAATATGTTCTTAAATAATCATGTTATACAAAGAAAACTAAATCTATTAATTATAAAAAGGAAAACCAAAAGAGAAGCCCCACCCATCCGTCTCGATTTCAATCATGATGAATTTTTCATTCGTTGTCAGACCAAGGGGCAGAGCGTAATTGCAAAATCCATATTTCCAAAATTTTCAGATCCATAAAACACCAAAATGCTCATATCCCTAAAACAACCAAAATTCCCAAATCTACAAAATAGCAAATTCCTAAAATTCTCAAAATACCATATTCCCGAAATTCTTAAAACAACAAAATCCACAAATCCTCAAATCACCAAAATTCTCAAATTCTGAAAACACCAAAATGCTCAAATCCTCAAAACACCAAAATTCCCAAATCTTCAAAACACCAAATTCCTAAATCCTCAAAACAACATAACCCTCAAATCCTCATAACATCAAAACCCTCAAATCATCAAAACACCAAAATACTCAAAACCTGAAACCAATAAAATTTCTAAATTCCTAAAACGTCAAAATCTCCAAATCCCAAAAAATCAAAACTTTAGAAACCTCAAAAATTGAAAAAATGAAAATCAAAACTGGATTTTTCAACTTTTCATTTTGTTTGTTTCTTCATTTTTTAGATTTTTTAATTTCTCAATTTGAACTTTCGCGAATTTTCATTTTTTCGATTCGTTAATTCTTCAAATTTTGGTTTCGGTTTTAATTTTCTTAATTTTTATAATTTGTCAGTTTTTTAATGCTCCGATTTTATGATTTTTCATTTATTCAACTGCAATTTTTTTGATATTTTGATTATAGCAATTTTTCGGTTCTTTAATTTTTCATTTTTTCAAATTTTACAATTTTTTTAATTTGCAATGTTCCGAGTTTATAATTTTTGTTTTTGCAAAAACAATTTTATCAATTCTTCGTTTCTCCAATTTTTCGATTTGCGATTTTTCAACTTTTCATTTTTTTTTCGTTTCTTCAATGTTTAGATTTTGCAATTTTTTATTTAAAATTTTTCGAGTTCAAATTTCACTTTTCAATTTTTCGATTCTTTCATTTTTCATTTCTTGAAATGTTGGACTGTCAAATTGTAGATAATCTTCCGCTAGTTACGATCCTGAAATCGCCGTTACGATATCCGCTTCGATAAACACGAAAACTGAATTCAAAATTTTCAAAAAAGTGATTAAAGTTGGTACCATCGACCGAAAATTGGTATCAAATTGTAGATAATCTTCCGCTAGTTACGATTCTGAAATCGCCGTCACGATATCTCGTCCAATAAAGACGAAAAGTGAATTCAAAATTTCTAAAATTTTTTCAAAAAAGTGGTTAAAATTGGTTCAATCGACCAAAAATTGGTGTCAAATTGTAGATAATCTTCCGCTAGTTACGATTCTGAAATCGCCGTCACGATATCTGCTCCAATAAAGACGTAAAGTGAATTCAAATTTTCCAAAAATTTTCCAAAAAAGTGGTTAAAATTGGTTCAATTGACCGAAAATTGGTCTCAAATAGTAGATAATCTTGTGCTATTCCGATTCTGAAATCGCCGTCACGATATCTGCTCCAATAAAGACGAAAAGTGAATTCAAAATTTCCAAAAATTTTGCAAAAAAGTGGTTAAAATCGGTGTCAAATTGTAGATAGCAATTTTTTGGGTTTCGACTTTTATTTTCTTAATTTTTACGATTTTTCAATTCGTCAATTTTTCGATTTGCACTCTTTCAATCTTCCATGTTTTGTTGCTTTAAACAAAAATTTACCATTTTAAACGTGTTTTAAAGTTTTAAGTTTCGAAGAATAAAAAAAATCATTACAATTGAGACTGGGTGGGTGGGCGGGCTTTATATTTTGCCTTTTCTTCTTAATATACATAATGTTCTTGGAACAACACGCTACTCAAAAACATGTTTTAAATTTTTTGTAAACAAAAAGTATTTTGCAGTTAAGCTCCGCCCCCTTGGTTTGCGACGAATAAAAAAGATCATCACATCTGAGATAGGGCGGGTGGGCGGGCTTACATTTTGTCTTTTTGTTTTAATACGTGTAGACTTCTTTTCACGACAGGAAACTTAAAACATGTTAAAAATGGAAAATTAGGCGAAATAAAGCCATACCACACTATAGATAGATAGCCTCTCAATAGACCTTTTGCACGACTAAGATGGCCGCCGATGCAGTAGTACCAATCCGTTTGTTTTTAGGTTGGCAACAATGAATCTTTTACATCAACCACCACATTCGATTGGTGGATTTCCGGGCGCTAAATTTAAAATGTGATACAGTTAACATTTAACATTCAGTGCTGCTCTAATAAATAAATTATTGATTTAATAAAATATCCATTGCCGCCAACCTAAATTTGTGTTTGGACGAATAAAAGAATCACATCTAGACCGCGGGAATTTTAATTTAAAGATTTTTTTAATAACCTTGTTTTACTGTGTATTTGTACAATACTCGATAGATGGCGCCAATTACCTTTTTATTGCAAGAACACTTGACAGATGACTCAAACTATCTTTTTATTTCTAGTTCTAGTTTCTGGTTTAATCTGGTCTAATTATGTTATTTAGCTCTCAGTAGGTACCGCAACATGTTAGCCTTCACTTCATAATAAAACCCTAACTTAATTTTTGCCACATTTTTCGTATAATCGTAACACTTATGTTAATTATAGTTAAATTTTATATGTTATTCCAATTTATTGGAGATTCGAGATAGCAGCAGACCATACTATTATTATTGTTATTCAGGTTTTTCCAATAATAAAAGCTTATCTTATGAGGCAGGAATTTCATGACCTTTGTAGTCATGAACCGATAGTCATCCCAGTCGTGTTCTTCATTTTATACATGTTTTTAAAAATATACTTAAGTCAAGGTCTTTTAAATACGAAAAAAAGTGGTTTCCAGGATTATTTAGTTTTTGCAATGATTATCCAATTATAACAGGAGCTTATCAGATGATTTTTAGTGCTGAAACCACCACTATACTTACCAGGCGATAACCTCAGTTCTAACCTAAGCACCACACTTTTACGTTTCGTAAATAGAAAAGAGTTTAAAAACAATATAGTGTCGAAGCTTATAAATGGCAATAAAATACTTTATTATCGACATAAGTAGTAGTAAAATACGTGAACTTAAAAGAATACTTGATAGCAGTGCTTGGTCAATAAATAATAACAATCACAAACAAAATAATAATAATAAAAAAAAACAAAGTCTCTTAGTGTGGCCTCCTGAACACTCCAGTGAACAACACGGCCTGCTCAGCCTTATCATAGATGACATAGATGAACGGATGATCGCAATGGAACTGAGCCGGTTCAATCGGCCGACTCGACCTAAAACTAAACAAAACCGTGGAGGCGGCGGCCCTCGTCCCCTCCTCGTTGACCTCGATCCTCGCCTTATGCAGCGCGTTCCCTAAACTAACCTTATCTTCGGTGAGCGTCGTCAGATTGGACGTCTCTTGGAACAGATCTCCAATCCCCATATTTTCTAAAATCTAAAAAGAGGAGCGTTAACGGAGAGACCCACAGCGTTCTCATATCTTTATTTCTAAGTTATTCACTATTTACACAAACACAAAGACCCAGGCAAGATACATTCGACACGTGGTGCGCAGTGCGTTCAAGCCGGTTTTCTGAAAACTCCCATAAACAGAATTGTGCGTGTGTTTTTGTTAAAGATAGTAAAGGCAAAAGGTCGGTTGCATTCGAAGGTGACGGGGGTGTCGTCGTCCTCGTCGCCCATCATGCGCCAGCTGAATATAGAGGTGGCCGCAGCAGCCGTGGCCCCTTCCTCGTTAATTACAATTTTGGCTTTGTGGATGCCCTCACCGACAGAAACGTCTTTGTTGTTAGACAGTTTTGAGAAATCCGCGTCATCTTTGAAGAGATTCCCGACACCCAACGTTTCAAGGATCTAACATCAAGTGGTTAGTGGAAGCACTACTTACGGGGGGACTTGGGGGGGCTTACCGGGACGAGTTCGATGGTGTGCTCGAGGGCGAACTTGGGGAAGGAGACCTGGACGGTTTTCGCCGTCAAGCGGTTGCTGTTGACGATGTTTTGGAATTTATCGACGGTGAGCTTCTTCAGGGTGTTGTCAATAGCGCCTTCTTTGGTGAAGGGCGGCAGGAACACGTACATGCTGATTTGGTCACCCTTGTAGGGCATTTCGAGAATGTGGGCCTCAAGGCTTTCGGACACATCTGGGGACAATAAGTTTGATAAAAACACACAGAGGGTGACCCTACTGACCATGGTTGAAAGTACCCTCCACGTGCATCATATCCACCATGATTTGTTTAGACGAGCTGACGTAGAAGATCTCCGGTTTGGTCTCATCTGGGTTGAACTTATTCTCCCACTTGCCTTTGAAATAGGCCGCGTTTACCAACACCAAGGTGCTCGACTGGTCTATACTTCCCGGTGGTAATAAATTCTGGATCATGTTATGGGTTTGATCTTCGACCCACTTGTTGATGGTGAGTCTGGCATTCTGAGGGTCACTCTTAAACGGGGCTTTTGATAACTCTTCTCCGAAGAGTGACGGGATGCAGTCCCTCACGACGACGTCCTCTGCGACGTAGATCTTATTCGCGTTAGTAAACTCGTAAGAGCTGTTGATTTTGTCAATCCTGGTTTGTAACTTATCTAGTTTATACGCTTGGTAGAAATCGGGTTTGGTCTGCAACTTTTCCATTACAAACACAAGTTTTTGTGCACCTTTTTCTTACCTGAGAGGTATCAAGCCTGAGTATTCTCTTGAGGTAACTCTCGGTTTGTCCCCCAGCTAGGAAATACGCTATCAAAAGGGCGTGGTACGTGGAATAAGGCGAAAAAAACAGATTCTCGTTGGGCATCAACTGGTTGATGGATTGAAGCAGCGCCAAGGAAAAACTCTGTTGTCCCGTGTAGAGTCCATGCCTTCCACCCGGATTAATACGTTTGTTATCATTCTCCGATAAACACTGCTGGTTCGAGGTTTTTAAAGCCGCCACAAGGAACAAAAACCCAAAGGTTATCTTCATGTTTCTGTAACAAGATTATTTTAAGACTAGAAACGCCCGACCACGACCGAGTTCCACACACTACTGATGGACAACAGAGAAAGTTCGTGCATGACCTACAATAAAAACACTTTCTCAAAGCATCTCTGAATTACCAGTGACGTAGTCTACCATGAAACGATAACGTTCTCGAAGTGTACTTAAGTCATTGTCACCTACCCATGCACAATGCTACCAATTGTGAGATGGAAAAACCAGCACCTACATGGTCGTTTCAGTTTATGACGCTTTGTGTTGGTATTTAAACGGGAAATTCCGCTAATTAACACGAAGGAAAGTAATTGCATAAACAAACCGAGATAGTTTTTTACCTTTTGTGAAGAGGAAGCGACGTTTTCGAAACCCACTTAACTTAAGTAAGTGTACGCAGGAGCGTGAGTCGTGCGCCACTGAAAGACCACTGCGTTGATTAAAGGCCAAAACATGCCCTCTTTCCGACTAGATCGGGTCAGTGCTATTACCCTTGACCTTTGTTATGAATTAATTTTAGTGATGTTCGATTATAGTGAGCATCGCGGATCTTATGTAATGGGTATTCACAACAGGTAATTGCGTCTGGGTCGGATGACCTTACACTGTCTTTTTTTGTTTTAGAGATTAACTTTCTTTATTTAAATAGTTCTGGATGTAGGTGCGAGCTTGTGAAAGTTTTCAGTTAAATTTTCAAAATTTTATCGATGGGATGATCGGGTAATTATGTCATGCTCCAGATAACTTCTTTGTGTTGTCTAAATGCGTTAAATACCGGTTTTATTGTTTTACTGACATTTGAATAATTGCTTTGGTGATGCGAAATTTAAACGGATGTGGTGCTAAACGGATGTGTTGAAATTTGACGATCGATTGGTATTGGGTTTTGGATTTTTTAAAATACTGTCACGTTTGGATAAGAGTTGAAAATGCGAGTCGCAACATTTCGCGTATTTTGTGTCAAGGGTAAACAAATTCTTTTTGATATTGTTAATGTTATACATGCAACAATGTAGTCAAAGTGGTTCAAAAATTTCGAAAAATGATTTTCGTTCTAATTTACAATTTAGATCTTCGGAAGTTCTAATTACACCACAGCGCAGACGTCATAGGGATTCACTGGAATTTAACCGGAAATAATAACCGGAACTGCAACCACTTAAATTGTCTATTATACCAAAATTAAATCAATATTTTTGTGTTAACGATTTGTTGATAATGAGTGTAATTTTGTTAGTAAATAAGATTGTTTATTCAGTTGAGTGTGCATTTTTCTTGGGTACACGTAATGTTGCAAATATAGCCAATTTGGTAATTTTTTTCCGGTTGTCACAAACAGTGTAAGCTTTAGGAATGTTTTTCTGATTGCTGTACTTACTTACAAGTGGGTTATGTGGGTAAATACTTGTGGCTGTTGCACTTAAACTTATAACATTTGCGTACACTCTCACGTCAAAGAGTACTTCTAGACTGACTGCGAGTACACCTGAACAGGTTTATATTGACAGTGAGGATGAATCACGCAACATAGTAGGAATACAAATATTTTAGTTGTTTGTAGGGTCATCTGTAGTGTGATTAAAGCCGAAACTGCGAGGGTTTACTACTGCATGAATGGAGTATCAGTTAACGTGTTGCTTTGCTAATTAGCCTGGAGTTAATGTAAACAAAATTTTTGCAATTCTTAGTACTCGTGTGTCAAAAATGGATTTAATTAGCATAAAATGCGATTAATCAGGTTCTAAAATAAATCATGAAATAAGGTGATAATTTGCTTACACATGTTTAGTTATGGAAAAAAAATAGATACCTACCTCTGAATTTACTTTGTTTGGATGTACAACCCCCAAAAAAATGTTGATCTTAATGATGGTTTACAAATTTAGTAGCTACATTATAATGTTATCTAGTTTGTAATTATTAGGAAGTTCTGACATTTTTCTTTGATTTATTTTTTTCATTATTGTTTTTAATTTTGTCAATACCGGGGGTAAGCTGGAGCATGAAAATCTAGGTTTCCTGTTTCCGCCTGTCTTTGTCGATTTTTGTTAGATAGATCTCTGAAACTAACTTCAAGTTTAATATCTATGTATTTTAGGGAATATCGTGTAGGTGGTAGAATGCTAATCAAAATTTCGTCAGTTTTTTGTAATCGTCCTTTTTTTGTGGACTTTTGTAACGCGTTTCTTTGGTCCCTTTTATCGCCCATTTTTCTGTTAGTCGCGTTTCTGTGAGCTTTTTTGGCGCATTTTTGTTTTTGTGACCTTTTTGTGGTCGATTTTTGTGTATTTTTAATGCGTTTATATTGTTTTTTGGTGTTTCTTTGTGTCCCTTTATTATGCGTTTTTTGGGCTCTTTTTATAGTCTTTATTTTTGTAAAGTTTTTGTTGCGTTTTTTTGTCCTTTGTATTATCGTATTTTTGTGTCGCCGCTTTTGTTGAATTTTTCGATCCTCCTTTTTTGTGAAATTTTTGTCGCTTTTTTGTAAGGTTTTTTTCTTTTCTTTTTTGGAGATCTTTTTTGTATAGAATTTTTTGCTTTCTTCTTTATTTCGATTTTTTTCCCGTTTTTTGATCCCTCTTGTAGTGCCTTTCATGATATTTTAATACTCTATTTTCGAATTTTTGTAGACTTTTTCTGGCACTTTTTTGTTTTTTATGACTCTTTTGGAGTCGTCTTTTATGTGTACTTTTTTTATCACATAAAATATTTTTTTTGTCGCCTTTTTTGAAGCTTTTATATGTACATTTTTTGTGACTTTTCTTGTGGCCTTTTCTGACTCCCTCTTTTTCTTTTTTTTTGAGACCTCTATAGCTTTTTTGTCTCCCTTCTTTTCGTCACATTTTTTCCACATCTTTTTAGGCTTCCTCTTTCGGCCTTACAAGTTTCATCTCATTTTTATCGATTTTTCTATATTTTTAATTTTTCTGTCACGTTTTTGTAGCCGTTTTTGGCGCATTTTTATTTTCTGTCACTTTTTTGTAATCACTTTTTCATGTATTTTTTATATGCGTTTTTGTTTAATTTTTTTCACCTTTTTTTGGTCACATTTTTGTCTCATTTTTGTGTTTTTTTGAAGCGTTTTTATTAGCTGTTGTGTCTGTTTTTGATTCCTTTTTTTTCGTATTTTTTTGTGGTTTTTCTTTGTATTCTTTTATTATCGTCATTTTGGTTTCTTTTTGCAGTTTTTATTTTTGTGGATCTTTTCTTGCATTTTCACTGTTTGTAATCGCCGTTTTTGTTGAATTTTTTGATCCTTCTTGGAATTTTTATCGCATTTTTTGTAACGTTTTTTCTTTTCTTTTTTTTTGAGAACATTTTTTACAGCTTTTTTGACTCTCTTCTATTTGTCGCATTTTTTCGCGTTTCTTGAGCCCTTTTGTGGCCATTTTTCTTCATTTTCTTGTTTTTTTTTATCTGTACTTTGTTTTCTAGTTGTTTGAAACCTTTTTTTATGACTCTTTTGGAGTCGTATTTTTTTGTTCTTTTTATCGTGGTTTTTGGTCGTTTTTATCGTCTTTTTTGTTACGTCTTTGTTACGTTTTTACAATTTTTTTGTCGCTTTTTTTGTGACCTTTCTTGTGGCCTTTTTTGATTCACTCTTTTTGTCACCTTTGGTTGTGGACTTTTTTTGACTCTTTGTCCTTTTTTTTGGTAAAATTTGTGTAATTTTTGTTGCCTTTTGTGGAATTTTTGTTCCTTTTTTGTAGCGTTTTTTTTCTATTTTTTTAAGACCTTTATAGCATCTTTTTTAGCTTTCTCTTTCATAGTTTTGTATGGTTTTTTAAGCGTTTTTATTGTTTTTTGTGGTCTTTTTTGTGACTTTTTTGACTCCTTTTATTATCTTTTTTTTTTGGCCTCTTTTTGTAGTTACCTTTTCGCTTACTTGTTGTGTCACTGTTTTTGTTGCCTTTTGTGGAATCTGTGTCCCTTTTTTGTAGTGCTGTTTTAATATCTTCTTTTTTTGAGAGCTTTGTAGCCTTTTTTGTCTCTTTTCTTTTGTTGTATTTTTTTCTAATTTTTATTGATTTTTCTATTGTTCTTGCATTTTTTGTGATCTTTTTTGATTCTTTTCTGTTAGTCGTGTTTCTGTGGGCTTTTTTGATGCATTTTTGTTCTTTTGACCTTTTTGTGGTAAATTTTTGTGTATTTTAATGCCTATTTAGGTAATTTTGTCGCCTTTTTTTGGTCACATTTTTGACGCATTTTTGTGGTGTTTCTTTGTGTCCCTTTGTTTTGATTTTTTTGGGCTCTTTTTATGATTTTTATTTTTGTGGACTTTTTGTTGCGTTTTTTTGGTCACATTTTTGACGCATTTTTGTGATGTTTCTTTGTGTCCCTTTGTTTTAATTTTTTTGGGCTCTTTTTATGATTTTTATTTTTGTGGACTTTTTGTTGCGTTTTTTTGGTCACATTTTTGACGCATTTTTGTGGTGTTTCTTTGTGTCCCTTTGTTTTGATTTTTTTTGGGCTCTTTTTATGATTTTTATTTTTGTGGACTTTTTGTTGCGTTTTTTTGGTCACATTTTTGACGCATTTTTGTGGTGTTTCTTTGTGTCCCTTTGTTTTGATTTTTTTGGGCTCTTTTTATGATTTTTATTTTTGTGGACTTTTTGTTGCGTTTTTTTTGTCCTTTGTATTATCGTCTTTTTTGTCACTGTTTGTAATAGCCGCTTTTGTTGAATTTTTCAGTCCTCCTTTTTTGTGAAATTTTCGTCGCTTTTTTTGGAAGGTTTTTTCTTTTCTTTTTTTGGAGATCTTTTTTGTATAACATTTTTGACTTTCTTCTTTATTTCGAATTTTTTCCCCTTTTTTGATTCCTCTTGTAGTGCCTTTCGTGATTTTTTTATACTCTCTTTTCTCATTTTTGGAGACTTTTCTGGCACTTTTTTGCTTTTTATGACTCTTTTGGAGTCATCTTTTATGTGTACTTTTTGATCACATTTTTTTTTGTCGTCTTTTTTGTCTCTCTTCTTTTCGTCGCATTTTTTTCACATCTGTTTTGGCTTCCTCTTTCGGCATTACAATATATATTTTTAATTTTTCTGTCACCTTTTTTCACTCTCTTCTGTTAATCACTTTTCTGTAGCCTTTTTTGGCGCATTTTTATTTTCTGTCACTTTTTTGTAATCACTTATCATGTATTTTTTAATAGCGTTTTTGGTTAATTTTTTTCCGCCTTTTTTTTTGGTCATATTTTTGTGTTTTTTTGAAGCGTTTTTATTATCTTTTGTGGCCATTTTTTTGTTCTTTTTATCGTGGTTTTTGATCGTTTTTATCACCTTTTTTGTTATCTCTTTGTTACATTTTTACAATTTTTTTGTCGCTTCTTTGTACCTTTTTTTGTGACCTTTCTTGTGGCCTTTTTTAATTCTCCTTTTTTGTCACCTTTGGTTTTGGATCTTTTTTTTGAGTCTTTGTCCTTTTTTTATCGTCATTTGTGTAATTTTTTGTTGCCTTTTCGGGAATTTTTGTCGCTTTTTTGTAGTGTTTTTTTTCTATTTTTTTGAGACCTTTATAGCCTTCTTTGTCGCATTTTGTCTCATCTTTTTTGGCTTTCTCTTTCGGCCGCTACAGGCTTTTTCTCATTTTTATCGATTTTCTGTGTTTTTGTTTTTTTTGTCATCTTTTTTAACTCTTCTTCTGTTAATCACCTTTTCTATAGCCTTTTTTGGCATATTTTTGTTTTCTGTCACTTTTTGTACTCACTTTTTCGTGTATTTTTTTAACATGTTTTTAGTTCATTTTTTATCACCCTTTTTTTGGTCATAGTTTTCTGTGTTTTTTTAAGCGTTTTTATTGTTTTTTTGTGGCTTTTTTTCTGACTTTTTTGACTCCTTTTATTATCTTTTTTTGGTCTCTTTTTGTAGTCACCTTATTGGTTATTTTTTGTGTCACTGTTTTTGTTGCCTTTTGTGGAATTTGTGTCCCTTTTTTGTAGTGCTTTTTTCTTATCTTCTTTTTTTGAGAGCTTTGTAGCCTTTTTTGTCTCCTTTCTTTTTGTCGCGTTTTTTCTCATTTTTATTGATTTTTCTATTATGTTTTTGCATTTTTTGTGACCTGTTTTGACTCTTTTCTGTTAGTCGCGTTTCTATGGTTTTTTTTGGCGAATTTTTGCTTTTGTGACCTTTTTGTGGTCAATTTTTGTGCATTTTTTATGTCTTTTTAGGTAACTTTTATCGCCTTTTTTTGATCACATTCTTGACGCATTTCTGTGTTTTTTTTGGAGCGTTTATATTGTTTCTTTGCTGTTTCTTTGTGTCCCTTTATTATGCCTTTTTTGGTCTCTTTTTATAGTTTTAATTTTAATGGTCTTTTAGGTGCGTTTTTTTGTCCTTTCTGTTATCGTTTTCTTTTGTCACTGTTTGTAGTCGCCGTTTTTGTTGAATTTTTCGATCCTTCTTGGAAATTTTATCGTTTTTTTTGTAACATTTTTTCTTTCCTTTTTTTTTGAGAACATTTTTTATAGCTTTTTTGACTTTCTTCTATTCGTCGCATTTTTTCGCGTTTCTTGGTCCCTTTTGTGGCAATTTTTCCTCATTTTCATGTTCTTTTTATGTGTACTCTGTTTTCTAATTGTTTGAAACCTTTCTTGGTGCTTTTTGTTTTTTATGACTCTTTTGGAGTTGTATTTTTTTGTTTTTTTATTGTGATTTTTGGTCGCGATAAAAGCCTTTTTTGTTACCTTGTTTAATTTTTACAACTTTTGGGTCGCTTTTTTATACCTTTTTTTGGGACCTTTCTTGTGGCCTTTTTTGATTCCCTTTTTTTTACACCTTTGGTTTTGGACTTTTTTTTGAGTCTTTGTCCTTTTTTTATCGTCATTTGTGTCATTTTTTTGTTGCCTTTTGTAGAATTTTTGTCCTTTTTTTTGTAGCGTTTTTTTTCAATTTGTTTTAAACCTTTATAGCCTTTTTTGTTGCATTTTTTAGCTTTCTCTTTCATAGTTTTGTGTGTTTTTTAAGCGTTTTTATGGGTTTCTTGTGGCCTTTTTTGTGACTTTTTTGACTCTTTTTATTATCTTTTTGTTGGTCTCTTTTTGTAGTCACCTTTTTGCTTATTTTTTGTGTCACTGTTTTTGTTACCTTTTGTGGAATCTGGGTCCCTTTTTTGTAGTGCTTTTTTCCGTCGCATTTTTTTCTCATTTTTATTGATTTTTCTATTATGTTTTTGCACTTTTTGTGACTTTTTTTGACTATTTTCTGTTAGTCGCCTTTCTATGGGCTTTTTGGCGCATTTTTGTTTTTGTAGCCTTTTCATGGTGAATTTTTGTATATTTTTAATGGCTTTTTAGATAATTTTATCTTTTTTTTTGGTCACATTTTTGACGCATTTTTGTGTTTTTTTTGGAGCGTTTATATTGTTTTTTTGTGACTTTTTTGACTCTTCTTTTTTTTTTGTCGCATTTTTGTGGCGTTTCTTTGTGTCCTTTTATTATGCTTTTTTTGAACTCTTTTCATAGTTTTTATTTTTGTGGACTTTTTGTTGTTTTTTTGTCCTTTTTATTATCGTCTTTTTTGTCACTGTAATCGCCGTTGTTTTTTATGAGTGTTTTGGAGTCGTACTTTTTTGTTCTTTTTATCGTGGTTTTTGGTCATTTTAATCGTCTTTTTTGTCACTGTAATCGCCGTTGTTTTTTATGAGTCTTTTGGAGTCGTACTTTTTTGTTCTTTTTATCGTGGTTTTTGGTCATTTTAATCGCCTTTTTTGTTACCTCGTTGTTACATTTTTACAATTTTTTTGTCGCTTTTTTGTACCTTTTTTTGTGACCTTTCTTGTGGCCTTTTTTGATTTCCCTTTTTTTGGCACCTTGTTTATAACCTTTGGTCATTTGTGTCATTTTTTAGCCACCTTTTTGTTCGTTTTTTGTGTCGCTATTTTTGTTGCTTTTTGTGGAATTTTTGTCCCTCTTTTTTTGTCGCATTTTTTTCTCATCTTTTTTGGCTTTCTCTTTCGGCTACTACAACCTTTTTATCATTTTTATCGATTTTTCTATACATGTTTGTGATATTTGTGATTTTTTTTGTCATCTTTTTTGACTCTCTTCTGTTAATCACGTTTTTTCTAGCCTTTTTTGGCGTACTTTTGTTTTCTGTCACTTTTTGTAATCACTTTTTCGTGTATTTTTTTAACATGTTTTTAATTCATTTGTTCGCCCTTTTTTTGGTCATATTTTTGTGTGTTTTTTAAAGCGTTTTTATTGTTTTTTTGTGGCCTTTTTTGTAACTTTTTGACTCCTTTTGATATTTATTTTTGGTCTTTTTTTTTAGTTTCCATTTTTGTGGACTTTTTGCTGCGTTTTTTGTCCTTTTTATTATAGTCTTTTTTGTCACTGGTTGTAATAGCGGTTTTTGTTGAATTTTTCAATCCTTCTTGGATTTTATTTCTTTTTTGAGATCTTTTTTCTAACTTTTTTTGAATTTTTTTCTGTTGATCCCTCTTTTGGCCACTTTATTTCCCCATTTTCATGTTTTTTTATATTCTGCTTTCGCATTTTTTACAACCTTTTTGGCGCTTTTTGGAGTCGTATTTTTTAATGTGATTTTTTGTCGTAGTTTTGGTCCTTTGTCGCCTTTTTTTTTAATGGTTTTTTTACTCTCTTTTTTTAGTCGTTTTTTTGTGGTGTTTCTTTGTATCCCTTCATTATAGCCTTTTTTTGTGTGTTTTTGTACGTTTCATTTTTGTGAACCTGTTTGGAAAGCCCGAAAAAAAAAATTACGACTCTGTAGCCCCTAAATCGGACACTACCAAACTGCGCGGATTTACATAATTATCTTAATTTAAGAATAATCACAGAGATAATTAACGTATTTATGGCATTTATGTAATTAATATTTCAGAAACCTTTTTTTCCTATTTTTTTTTTTATTTCAAAAGAAAAAAATAATCCTGAGGTGGTTCTTCTAGCATATACTTAATTTTCCAAGCTATTGAAATTATTCAAATTAAATATTCTTGAAAATGACCCAATTACATTTTTTCTCAGCTATCATTCGACAAGTGAAAATTAAAATCAACTTCCTTTCTATACTTAATTATTTTCATTATAATTATACACAGATATGTTGATCACCACTTTTAACCGGTTTTACAATGCAAATAAATGAAACATATAATTATTGTCTTTTTGTTATAGGAAATTCTAATGAATATGGAGTAGTTTATTAAACACTAGATCACTTACGCACTTTTAAATAATTTATCATTTTATGCAAACAAAGTTATTTTCGAAACCATTCAGAAATTTGTCAAAAGTTCCAATTTTTTACCTTGCAGATATTAAAATTGCTTGAATATGAATCATTATTCATTTATTAATACTGGAATAGAGGAGTGTGAAGGTAAAAAAAATCACAAGTTTAACAGAAAATAAAGCAAAAAAACACGATTACTGCTATTTTTTCGAAGAATTTTTGCTTAGTATTATCTGTTCGGATTTTCCATTTATGACGTTAATTAATGCTACTAACGGAGATAAGTTTTCAGAAATAATCTCAGAACTACGTCACATACTGCGCTTTGATTTTTGAGAAACAATTTTTGCCGTAAAAAGCAAAAAAAAAACTTCTGAGAAAACCAGCACGGAAAATCTCTGGTATTTTAATTAGCACTTACGCTATAAAAATCGTAGTGCCAATTATTATGATCCGACGAGGCGTTAACCGAGTCTGATAACATGACGCGCACCACGATGATAACTTATGACCTCAGTTTTATAAAAAATTTTAACTTTTAAACAAAATACCTACTTCGACTGAGTGGAATTTTCTTATGTCAACCTATTTCGATTGCACATTTTTCAGCGTCAACAATTTGTCACGACTTGTGGTTTCCATTATTTTCTTTGAAAAAAAAAAAATCATCACAATAGTAATTTCAAAGAAAACAATCGTCAATACAAATAAACAAGTAAGTCATAAAATATAGCAAACAAAATGTGAGTGTGTTTGCGTCAGCCTAAGCCAAACAGTTCCAAGGTACCCAAGCAAGCAAAACCATCCAGTATGTTTGTCACTTTTATTGTAAATATAAAAATAATCAAAGCACTTGTTACAATATCGTCGTTACTCTAAGTAGGTACATGTAAAAATAAACAGCACCCAAAGGCACAAGATACTAAAAATGGCACAAACAGTGAGGTACTTAACTAAAATTGCAATGATTACGCGCCCTTCCATTAGCCAAAATTTAGAGCAAATTTCCCCAAAAGGAACAAAAACGCCCATCCGCCAAACGCAAACCTAAACCCTAACAAAAATATCGTCTTTTCACAATTTTGGCTAATTCAGAAAAGGGGGTAAAGTCACGTAAGTCTGATTACTCCCATGCTCACTCTTAATCTGCTCCTTCATCCTCCCGTCTTCGTGGTAACTCGCCTCGTACTTCGGCGACATGTTCGCGTACCGCTCCGGCGACGCGTTCAGCGTGTGGTTGACGTACTCGATTTTGGCCCCAATGGAGTTCTCGTCGGCCGTGGGCGAATGAGTTTGAAGCATGGAGTACTCCCGCCCCAGCGGCGGGCTCTGGTTGGCCAGGGGCGGGGTGTACTCGTGCGCGCGCATGGGCGCGCCGAACAGCTGGTTGTCGTGCGAGTTCAGCATGTACGAGTACCCGTTCTGGGGCGAGCCGAAGCTGGGGTAGGGCGTCGACGAGGAGTTGAGGAGGTTCAAGTGCGGGCCCAGGTCGTAGGTGGACTGGTAGCTCCAGGTGTCCACGGGGGTGGACGTGTTTAAGGTGTTGGCCTGAGTGAAGGGGCTCAGGGTGTTGTTGAAGTTGGTGGAGATGCTGGAGCTGGGGGAGCTGGAGCTGATGTAGCCGGTCTTGCGTGGGGGCTCCCGTTTCCGCCACTTGGCCCGCCGGTTCTGGAACCAGACCTGGACGCGGGACTCGCTGAGGTTGAGCTTGAGGGCGAGCTCCTCGCGGGCGAAGACGTCGGGGTAGGGGGCGCGCTCGAAGGCGCGCTCGAGCTCTTCGAGCTGGAAGGCGGTGAAGGTCGTTCTGGAAGAGAAATACGATTTTTATTATGATTTCGTTCACATCAATATTAGATCTTATTTGAATAACATTAACCAAGGTACCACAAGGTACTATCCTGGAACATCTCTGTTCTATATCTAGATTTTTCCGTGAATTTTTAACCAACTTTTCCAAAAGCTCATTTTTTCGAAAATTCATACCATTTTTACAGAATTGGAGCCTTGGTGTTTTAGTTTTGATAGCATTTGAAAGAATATTCTGTTCCAGGTTCTGTTTATTTAAAGAATTTGAAAGAAAATTTTAATTCCTAGCGTCTTTATATGAAGAATCTGAAAGAATTTCTAGCGTTTTTGTTTTTGAAAGAATTTGAAAGAATGCTAGTGTTTTAATTTTTGAAAGAATCTTGAAAATCCTGGGATTTCCAACTCTTTTTATCGAAAGAATTTGAAAGAATCTTGAGATCTACAGTGTTTTTTTTTATTAAAAATTTGAAAGAATCAAGGGAAACGTTGCTATTTTTTAAAATTTGAAGTAATCTTAGGAACCCATTGTGTTTCATTTTTTAAAGAATTTGAAAGAATATTTGCATTTCTAGTGTCTTTATTTAAAAAGTACTTGAAAGAATCTTCAGATTTCTAGTGTCTTTGTTTTTGAAAGAATGTGAAAGGATTCTAGAGTCTCTTTTGATTTTGTTTTTGAAAGAATTTGCACTAATCTTAGGAACCCTTTGTGTTTTATTTTTAAAAGAAATTGAAAAAATATTCGGATCCATAGTGTCTTTATTTAAAGTTCTTGTATTTGAAAGAATTTGAAGAATCTTGGGGATCTTGGGAAAGAATTTGAAAGATTCTTCATATCCATACTACCTTCATATAGAGAATTTGAAAGAGTTTCGGGGTTTTTAGTGTTTTTGTTTTTGAAAGAATTTGAAAGAATTTTGGGAATATTGGGACCTCCAAATTCTTATATCGAAAGAATTTGAAAGAATCTGTGGGTCTCTAGTGTCATTTTTTTTTAATTTAAAAGAATATTTGGATTCATACTGTTATTATTTAAAGAATTTAAAAGAATCCTGGGATTTCTAGTGTCTTTGCTTTTGAAAGAATTTGAAACGATTCTCGGGTTTCTATTGTTTTTGTTTTTGAAAAATTTGAAGAATCTTGGAGATCTTGGGATAGAATTTGAAAGACTCTTCATGTCCATACTGCCTTCATATAGAGAATTTGAAAGACTTTTGGGGTTTCTACTGTTTTTGTTTTTGAAAGCATTTGAAAGAATATTGGGAATCCTGGGAGCTCCAGATTTTTTTATTGAAAGAATTTGAAAGAATCTGTAGGTCCCTAGTGTCTTTATAAAATCTATTTCAAATAATGTTTAGGTTCCTAGTGTCTTTGTTTTGAAAGAATTTGAAAGAATGCTAGTGTTTTTATTTTTGAAAGAATCTTGAAAATCCTTTGATTTCAAACTCTTTTTATCGAAAGTAAAAAAGAAGACTCTTCGTATCCATAGTGTCTTCATATGTGTAGAGAATTTGAAAGAGTTTTGGGGTTTCTAGTATTTTTGTTTTTGAAAGAATTTTGAGAATCCTGGGAGTTCCAACTCTTTTAATCGAAAGAATTTGAAAGAATCTTGGGATCTCCGTGTCGTTTTTTTTTTTAATTTGAAGGCATATTTGGATTCATAGTGTCTTTATTTACAGAATTTGAAAGAATCGTGAGATTTCTAGTCTCTTTGCTTTTGAAAGAATTTGAAAGGATTCTAGGACCTGTATTGATTTTGTTTTTGAAAGAATTTGAAAGAATCTGTGGGTCTCTAGTGTCTTTATAAAATCTATTTAAAATAATGTTTAGGTTCCTAGTGTCTTTGCTTTTGAAAGAATTTCAAAGAATGCTAGTGTTTTTATTTTTAAAAGAATCTTGAGAATCCTGGGAGTTTCAATTCTTTTAATCGAAAGAATTTGAAAGAATCTTGGGATCTCCAGTGTCATTTTTGTTTAATTTCAAAGAATATTTGGATTCATAGTGTCTTTATTTAAAGAATTTCAAAGAATCCTGGGATTTCTAGTCTCTTTGCTTTTGAAAGAATTTGAAAGGATTCTAGAACCTGTATTGATTTTGTTTTTGGAAGAATTTTAAAGAATGGTGGAATACCTTGGTATTTTAGTTTCGAAAGAATTTAAACTAATCTTAGGAATCCTTTGTGTTTTATTTTTAAAAGAATGTGAAAGAATCTTTTGGTTTTTGAATAAACAATTTGAAAGAATGTTGGAGTCTTACTGTTTTCCTTTAGGAAAGAATTTAAAAGAATCCTGGGATTCCTAAGGTCTTTGTTTTTGAAAGAATTTGGAAGAATCTTAGGAACTCCATTGTCTTTGTTTTTGGAAGAATTTGAAAGAATCGTGGGAAACCTTGGTATTTTATTCTCGAAAGAATTTAAAGTTATTTTGGGAACTCTTGGTGCTTTATTTTTAAAAGAAATTGAAAGAATATTCGTATCCATAGTGTCTTTATTTAAAGAATGTGAAAGAATCTTTTGGTTGCTAGTGTCTTTGAATAAACAATCTGAATTTTGGATTCCTACTGTTTTTGTTTATGAAAGAATTTGAAAGAATCTTGGAATTCCCAGGGTCTTTGATTTTGAAACCATTTGGAAAAATCCTGGGGTCTCTAGTGTTTCTGTTTTTGAAAGAATTTGGAAGAATCTTGGGATCTCCATTATCTTTTGTTTTTGAAAGAATTTGAAAGAATTGGGATTTTATTCCCGAAAGAATTTGAAGTGATTTTGGGAACTCTTAGTGATGAAGTCGATGTCAGTTATAAGTAATTGTATTTATTTTTCTGTATTTACATGATAAAGGAGAACAATCGCTCCGTTTAATAAATATTATTATTATTATTATTCATTTTTAAAAGAAATTGAAAGAATATTCGGATCCATTGTATCTTTATTTAAAAAATATGAAAGAATCTTTTGGTAGCTAGTATCTTTGAATAAACAATCTGAAAGAATTTTGAATTCCTACTTTTTTGTTTATGAAAGAATTTGGAAGAATCTTGGGATTCCTAGGGTCTTTGATTTTGAAAGAGTTTGAAAAAATCCTGGGGTTCCCAGTGGTTTTTGTTTTTGAAAGAATTTAAAAAGATATTGGGAACCTTGGATGCCCCAAATTTTTTTACGGAAAAATTTGGAAGAATCTTTGCGTCTCTAGTGTTTTTATTTTTGAAAGAATTTTAAAAAATCTTGGGAATCTTGGGATGTACATCGTCGTTGTTTTTGAAAGAATTTGAAAGAATCTTAGAAAACTTTGGTGTTCTATTGTTTCGTAAGAATTTTAAATAATCTTAGCAACGGTTGGTGTTTTATTTTTAAAAGAATTTGAAAGAATACTTGAATTCATCGTGTCTTTATACAAAGAAATTGAAAGAATCTTTTGGTTCCTAGTGTCTTCAAATAGAGAATGTGAAAGAATTTTGGTTTCCTACTGTTCTTGTTCTTGAAAGAATTTGAAAGAATTCTAGGTTTCCTAGTAGATATATTTGCTTTTGAAAGAATTTTAGAAAATCTTGTGAATCTTAGGAGCTCCATTTTTTTTATCTAAAGAATTTGAAAGAATCTTGGGATCTCCATTGTCATTGTTTTTGAAAGAATTTGAAAGAATCTTAGAAAACTTTGGTGTTCTATTGTTTCGTAAGAATTTGAAATAATCTTAGCAACGCTTGGTGTTTTATTTTTAAAAAAATTTCAAAGAATACTCGAATTCATCGTGTCTTTATACAAAGAAACTGAAAGAATCTTTTGGTTCCTAGTGTCTTTAAATCCAGAATGTGAAAGAATTTTGGGTTCCTACTGTTCTTGTTCTTGAAAGAATTTGAAAGAATTCTGGGTTTCCTGGTAGATATATTTGCTTTTGAAAGAATTTTAGAAAATCTTGTGAATCTTGGGAGCTCCATTTTTTTTATCTAAAGAATTTGAAAGAATCTTGGGATCTCCATCGTCATTGTTTTTGAAAGAATTTGAAAGAATCTTAGAGAACTTTGGTGTTCTATTGTTTCGTAAGAATTTGAAATAAACTTAGCAACGCTTGGTGTTTTATTTTTAAAAGAATTTGAACGAATACTTGAATTCATCGTGTCTTTATACAAAGAAATTGAAAGAATCTTTTGGTTCCTAGTGTCTTTAAATAGAGAATGTGAAAGAATTTTGGGTTCCTACTGTTCTTGTTCTTGAAAGAATTTGAAAGAATTGTGGGTTTCCTAGTATATATATTTGCTTTTGAAAGAATTTTAGAAAATCTTGTGAATCTTGGGAGCTCCATTTTTTTTATCTAAAGAATTTGAAAGAATCTTGGGATCTCCATCGTCATTGTTTTTGAAAGAATTTGAAAGAATCTTAGAGAATCTTGGTGTTCTATTGTTTCGTAAGAATTTGAAATAATCTTAGCAACGCTTGGTGTTTTATTTTTAAAAGAATTTGAAAGAATACTCGAATTCATCGTGTCTTTATACAAAGAAACTGAAAGAATCTTTTGGTTCCTAGTGTCTTTAAATAGAGAATATGAAAGAATTTTGGGTTCCTACTGTTCTTGTTCTTGAAAGAATTTGAAAGAATTCTGGGTTTCCTAGTATATATATTTGCTTTTGAAAGAATTTTAGAAAATCTTGTGAATCTTGGGAGCTCCATTTTTTTTATCTAAAGAATTTGAAAGAATCTTAGAAAACCTTGGTGTTCTATTTTTTCGTAAGAATCTGAAGTAACCTTAGGAACCCTTGGTGCTTTATTTTTAAAAGAATTTGAAAGAATACTTGGATCTATCGTGTTTTTCTTCAAAGAAATTGAAAGAATTCTTTGGTTCATAGTGTCTTCAAATAGAGAATGTGAAAAAATGTTGGGTTCCTACTGTTCTTGTTCTTGAAAGAATTTGAAAGAATTCGGGGTTTCCTGGTACATATATTTGCTTTAGAAAGAATTTTAGGAAATCTTGTGAATCTTGGGAGCTCCATCTTTTTTTATCTAAAGAATTT